TTTATGAAGTGTGACTATAAAAAAATTTATTTAGAAATTAATTTTTACCACTAGAGGTTGGCTATATTCACGCCATGTTGCCACACAACTATGTTTAAACCCCTTAAAAAAGTGATTTTGTAATTGGTCGTAGTGTTTGGTTGTTTTCCAGCACTGGCATTTCACAAGCTAGTGTTTTCTCAGAGCTGGGTGTGGCTGGAAGAGCATCTGCTGCAAGAGTAAAGGAAAGTGAGTGAGCACAGTGGCCCCCTGGGATTAGACACCCCCATTTTAGACTGTATTTCACTTCAGCTTTTTGTTATATTCCATCACTATCTTTACTCTTTTTCATGGCTTCAAATGTGCACCTTTGCACACATTGCATGAGTGCTCAGTTGTGGAAGCCTTGTAATGGGTGCAGTGTCTAGTGGACCTAAAGTGCTTTTGTATTATTTACAACTATTTTCCATGTGAATTATTTTGATTCACCATTGTAAAGAGACAGTGGTGAAAAGAGTACAGAAAAATCATACTAAAGTTAAAGTACTATTACTTGCCTAAAATGTATTGCAAGTAGAGTAAGATACTTTCAGTACAGTTACAGTACATATCTGTACAGATTTCAGTTCAGATTTAAAGTACAGATACTTTCTTTTGTAAATATTACTCAAAGTATGAGTAAATAATATACATTTTAAAGTACTTAAGATTAGTAAGTAGTGAGTATTATGCTGTAAAAAGCTGATGCATTTACATGTAATTTGTGGATGTGTGTAAACTTAACATTCTGTAGTGCATTTAGTTATTTCCTAGCAGGCACACAACATCATAAGACGTTAATATTAGGTTAAAATTAGGTCATGATGTCAGGTGACCAAAATTCAATGCCTATTGGTCTACTTGTAATGTCCACTCAACATCAAGCTTTAACATCATTATTTGTTAATATTTGGTTGATTTTAGGTTGGACAATGGACACTGACGTCAGCCTGATGTTTAACCCGATTTTCATTTCCAAACAAAATGCGGCGTACTCACAACGTTTGGGTACAACATCAATCTGATGTCATGTTGACGTCTTGTGCCTGCTGGGTGTTTAAGGCCATTTTGAGGTCATCATATAGCCAACATCCATCTTCTTCTCATCAGTAAAATGCATCTAAACAGTCTCTGGGTTAATGCATGTAAAGATTTTGGACATCTTATTGGACACTTTTCATGTTTCCGAACAGTTTGCGGCGTTTATAAATCCTCCATGTCTTGAAGTAGTCAATTATAATGCAATTTACCTAATCCCTATAGACAAGAAAAAGTAAAGTAGGGATTGCAGGTTGAAGGAAAGTAGTGGAGTAAAAGTAACAATACTGCACTAAACATGTACTCAAAGGAAAGTAAAAGTACACAATATTAAAACTACTTAGTAAATTACAATTTCTGAGAAAAACTACTCAGTTACAGTAATTTGAGTATTTGTAATTTGTTACTTTACTCCACTGGTAAAAGAAAATATATAAGCTTGCACAAATGCATAGGCTAAACAATACAATACAATTTAATACAATACAATACAATACAATACAATACAATACAATACAATACAATACAATACAATGAACTCTTACTGCATAACAAACATTAGCATAAAGGCATAGTTAACCCAAAAAGGACCATTTTTATTTGTTCCAAAACTGTTTTTTCTTTTCTTGTGTTAAACATAAAATAAGATATTTTGAAGAAAGCTGTAAACCTGTAACCACTGATTTATTATTTGTTTTCTTCTACTATGGAAATCAATGGTTAAAGGTTTTTGGCTTTCTTCAAAATGTCTATTTAGGAACCACATGAGGGTGAGTAAATTGTGACCTAATATTTTTTCTTTGGGTAAACTATCACTCTGTGGTAGAAAAAATCAAGGCAAAAATCAAGGTTATAGACTTAAAGTGTCTCTATAGGGTATACGTTGAAGCATGCTAAAAGGACTTTTAATTTCCCAGTAACCTGGGTTAACCGTTTCCGGTAAACTGAAATCGGTGTGTTTAAGGTCTGTTTTCTTTAAAAATCAGCTATCTCCACTGGCTGAGGGATATCCAATATAAAGTGGGGCTCAGATTGTACAAGAAGCACTGCATTAAATTACATTTTGCCTGCCATGTCTTTATAATATGAGCATTTATTTTACCCCAGTATATTCAATGGACCTTCTGTGCTAACCTTCTGTACTGCCGATTCTGACTGGCGCGAATGAGGCTTATGTCTCGTTTTACGCTTGAGCAACTAAATGAATGCCAAAGTCTATTTAACTTATTGTATTTTAATTACATAACAACATTGATGCTGTAAAAGGAATCGAATAAAATGAAAAAAAAAATAACCTCACAATGAAAGGTCACCGGAAGTTTATCAGTATGGGAACAACACTAGCTCGGTATATACCCTATTGTACCTTTTCAAATTTTACTTTTCAGGTAGTTTTTAATGTAGCTGTTTCTGAATGGGTTTAAAACATCTGCAAAGTAATAAATATTGAAGGTTTATGATAAATAAAATTTACACAAATTACACACAAATTATTACTTATTTACATTTTATCATATATAATGTTGAAGTCAGAATAAGCCCAGCTTTGAATATTTATTTATTTTCTTTCTGTTTTAAATATTTTCTAATGGTGTTTAACAGCCAAGAACATTTTCCAAGTATGTGTTATAATATTTTTTTTTCTTCTGGAGAAAATCTTATTTGTTTTATGTCAGCTAGAAAAAAAAGCAGTTAAAAATGTTTTTAAAACATTTTAAGGTAAAAATTATTAGCCCCTTTAAGCTATTTTTTTCGATAGTCTACAGAACAAACCATCATTATACTCTAAATTGCCTAATTACCCTAACCAGCCTAGTTAACCTAATTAACCAAGTTAAGCCTTTAAATATCACTTTAAGCTGTATAGAAGTGTCTTGAAAAATATCTAGTAAAATATTGTTTACTGTCATCAAAACAAAGATAAAGAAAATCAGTTATTAGACATGAGTTATTAAAACTATTATGTTTGGAAATGTGTTGAAAAAAAATCTTCTCTCCATTAAAAAGAAATTGGGGAAAAAAATAAACATGGGGCTAATAATTAGGGGGGCCAAAAATTCTGACTTCAACTGTATGTATGCTAAACATCAATTAAGACAACATTACCATTTGTTAGCTTTAAGGGGGAATTTGATAATTTAGAGTCTGCTAAGTTCATCTTTTAGGTTTAAAATGTTTATTGTCACGAGATTAAAATTGGTAACGTAGCACTGCAAGTAGAGTGTTGATGCATCAGTGTCTTGTTATTATTCACTGACTGAGTTTTCTTATCCTATAAGAAGACCCTGCTTTTTTATTATTTATGACAGCACGCATTACTTTCCAATATCAGACCTGCCAAGCTGTGAGACTGCGCAGTAGATTAGTTATGTGTTTATCATGGGTCATAGGTGTTTGTACATACATTGTGCACTTGCATTTGCATATGCTAAGTAGACACTACTGTTTATGCTACTAAATACTCACACATACACATATGACAAGCACCTTTTACACATAAAAACATTAATCTTGCTCATGTCATGCTTGCAATAAAGCTTCAAAATATCAACTTGTTCATTGATATAGTAACATCAAAACAATTGTTACTGTCTGTGTTTACATTTGCTGAAATAATGAACATTATGTTTCTTACACACTGCGACTGCATGAAGAACCACAACAGATTGGGACTTCTGACCAATCAGAGAAAAGTAGGCTCTCGCAAATGAGCTTAAAAAAGGATTAATCAGGTGAATCGTTTGAACATTAGGTGAATTTGAATCTATATTTCGAGCAAAACTCCAAAGCAAAATGAGGAACATCATATCATATCATATAGTAGAATTGTGTGGTGTGGGGGTAATTTAAATGCAATATGCTATGATGTCACAGCATAGTGTTAGAAATCAGTGTGCCTGTGGTGTATGCAAAAACTTTAGATTTAAGAAAAGCATAATGCACAATGTAGCAAAACAAGTCTCACCATCTTAATGAAAGGGCCAGTAGCCAATTGGTCACCAAGTCTAGTCACTGTGTCACTGCAGTTACAGTTACAGTTGCCATAGAAACAGCTCATGTGTTGTAAGTGCTTAGGACTGCGAATGCATGTTGGTTGGTCCAAAAATGCAAGCTTTTTTAATGCAATTTGAGCATAGGGAACAAGGTATAATGAACGGTTCATGCAAGATTGTTTAGCTGTATTTAAAGAAGTGATTTAAATGTTTTTAAAACATCAGTATTTATTAAAGCAAATTATTATGACTATATGTCCTGTTCAGGTGGATAAGATTTTGTTGCAAATATGACAACTAAAGTGTACATATGATTAGTCACTACCAAAATCTATCAAAATCAAATGTACTTCGAAATGGAAACAGGGATTTTTGTCACTGTGTGTCTAAAATTAAACCCAGTGGAATGAGTTCAGATAGGTGTTAAACTCTGCTGAATTATAGTCTTTTATGAAAAATAACTAGACCCCCTGTCTTAGAGCAGTTCCTTGGGACCCACTGTTTATTGCAAACCATCCTCAGCACATCTGCCTGTGTATTTTCAAATGTCCCTGAAAAGTTTGATTTGCTGCTTCATTAGGTTTGATGCTAAACACTGCAGGATAGTGGTTCTCTTCCTCCAATACCTCTGCTTTAGAGTGCCCAGGGGTTAAATGATTTTGAATAACACCACAATGGAAAATTAAATGGAATGTATCATCAACTTTAACAGAATATTTTATCTAAACATAAAAACGCTTTAATTGTTTCATTAAAGTTTTATTATTCCAAACTTCTAAGAAATCCTGTATTTTGCTAAACTTTGAACTTTAACTTTAAAATTCTATGAATTACTGTCTGTTTTAATACACTAATAAATCGTTTTCATATTTTGAAATATTTAAATGTTCTATGCCTTTAACTCTAGCAATTACACATTAAATGTTAATTAATTTTCCGATTGTTTTGCAGGGATCCCAACAAACCAGTGCCTCAGGATACCAAGTTTATTCACACTAAAGCCAATCGTTTTGAAGAGGTGGCCTGGTCTAAATACAATCCTCAAGATCAGCTGTACCTGCACATTGGCCTAAAGCCACGAGTCCGGGATCACTACCGTGCTACTAAAGTGGCATTCTGGAAGCACCTGGTCCCTCATCTGTACAACCTCCATGATATGTTCCACTACACCTCTACTACAACTAAAGTCCCACCACTCGAAACAACTCAAAATTCCCTGTCTACCAAGCGTCCTAATGGCAAAGCCTGGCCATTTAACACCAAGCGGCCTCCAATGTCTCCAGCATATAATAGTGAGAGTGGAAAGGAACAATGGAATGGAGAAGAGGAGCCAGGACCTCTTGTGGTGGAGAATCCCAGAGATTACTCCACTGAACTGAGCGTAACCATCGCTGTAGGAGCTTCGCTGCTGTTCCTCAATGTTCTTGCATTTGCTGCTCTGTACTATCGCAAGGATAAGCGGCGACAAGAACAGCACCCGCAACCCAGCCCACCACGAGCCACTACTACCAATGATGTGAATCGCCATGCCCCCGAAGAGGAGATTATGTCCCTGCAGGTGAACCAGACACATCATGAGTGTGACGCTGGGCCGACGGGAGACCCACTGCGACTCGCTTCACTTCCCGACTACGCGCTTACTCTGAGGCGCTCACCCGACGATATCCCACTCATGACACCAAACACCATAACGATGATCCCCAATTCACTAGTGGGCATGCCGAACCTACATCCATACAATACCTTCACAGCCGGTTTCAACTCCACTGGCCTACCACATTCCCACTCCACCACGCGCGTATAGCTTTATGGCGGTGAAGGGGACAAGTCGTTGGTTTTAATGAAAACATTACAGCAAGAGGAGTGAGTTCAGGATGATGATGGCAACAAAATAATTTGAATAAACATTTGCAAAAAGCAGTGACAAGTTCTTTCCAGATGTCAAGTTGTGCAAACCTGCCAAAACAGAACTGCTCTCTTTCCTTCAAAAAAGGGATGAGCATTTCAAGCAGTATTTTTTCTAATCATCATTTTAAAAGGAACAAAAAAAAATGCCTTTTTAAGCAGAATCAGGCGAATGGGGCGATCACCTTTTTTTGAATAAATAACAGAAGAAAAAAAAAACAAGGAAGTGCATTTTATTTCCCATCACAGTCTTTTGTGGGAAACACATTTCAAAACAGTGGCCTCTAAGGTGACATCTGCATAAAATGTTTGCTTTGCTTTTTTCAATTTCTTTTCATTGCCTTATAAAGAGCTGTTGTTGATGTTTTTTTGTTTTTTTTTCTTTTAATTTGACGATCTTACCCTGAGATGAGTTTGTGTGGAACATAGTGATCCAACTTGAGTGGTTGGATTCCAGGAAGCTTAGGTAGACGACAAATGTGAAAACTGGTGGACTGAAATGGTAACTCCGACTCATTTTCCAGCTGCGTAACCTCGCGTTTTTTTAACTTTTTTTCTTGATTCCACTGAAAATCTTTTGTTTGAAACATTTCCATGGATACTGGAGATAAAGACTTTTGACATTACTGTAATTGTTTTGTTTTAAGCAAAGTGCATCTTTTACAACAAAATTATCTATTTACTCCTGCGTCAAATTCCCATGAAATGCACACTTATGCTCAGAGCACTGTTTGACTGGTGTGTATGTGTGTGTGTGTGTGTGTGTGCGAGCGATTCTGGATATGAAAGGGAATATTTGAGTGTGTGTGTGTGTGTGTTGTGTGTGTTTGATTGCCTTTGCCATGATTTTTTCTTTAATATTTGTGTGATGGGGTGGGGTGGGGCTTCTTTACCACTGCGTTGATTTTGTTCACCACAAGTAGTGTTTCAATTGCGTCTATTGTCATGTCTTTGCGAAATAGAACTTTTTGTTATTTTTTAAAAAGTTACATATGTCTAATTTTGCTTAAGAATTACAAAATAAATCTATTATTTTACATGCAAGAGAAAATGATAGCTTAAGATTGAACTGAACTAACTGACATGATTTCATTGACTTTGTAAGCGTTCCTCTTGACTGGAGACAGTGGCCTCTTCACACTGAATAACCTGACTTCAGTGTAGACCTGTGTTTCTTTAAATATATATATAAATATGGGCATACATACATATATGTATAGGGCTTTTAAGAAGATTTTGTTCCTGTTTACTAGAAAGTGTAAATGACCGTTATTATCAACTATTAGGCTAAAAGTATACCAATATTCATAGGGCAGACCAGCTGTCTGTGCTAGTTTTATTCTCGACATTATAATCTGAGGCCACAACAATTGTCTTTTTAATAGCTCTATATGTATATTTATGTATAAATATATTTAATATTTATTTATGTATACCAGATGTATACATGCTGATTGTGCCATGTGCCAAATTAAACCATACAACTGGAGAAAAATATATATTTTGTCTTTTTAATATTATAATTTTGCATTCACAGTTAAATACACTTTTACTAGCTCTCTTAATAGAAGAAGATTTAATGAGATTATGTGTGGAATTCAGAATATATCCTAAATGACAGTCTGTATGATTGCTGTATACTTAGCTCCAAATAAAGCTAAAAGACGATGTGAAAAATCTGATGAAAATACTGCAACATAGGCAAATATGCACAGCTAGTGCTAAATATTCACTCTGAGCCAAATAAAACCTGTTCAGCAGTCAGTGCAGATAGCCTTTTGGTTAAACGTACTGACACATAAAGCAGCTGCACTCACATCGATTCCTGGGTCATGGTTCCATCCCGATCTCACTAATCTTCCTTTATACCCCTCCTTTCCTGTTGTTCTCAACTGTCCTATTACCAAAAAAAAGTTATAATTGCACACCTGCCAAACAAAACAGTAGCACTATTCCAGGCAATAGGATACCTTTATAGTTTAAAACTGGAGTTATCATTAAGCATGAATAAACCCACATCCCACTTTGAGTGCAGCAATTTTGATTTCATGGGGTTTTTGAATTAACAGTCAAGAAGTGAGTACTAATTTCAGTCAGACTGTTGTTCTCTTTGACCTTCATCAACCCCCTACTGATCTTTCTTACAAAACTCCATCACAAGATCGAGGACATGCACATATCTCTACAAAGCTCATTGCATTGAACTAGATTTGGGAATAAGTGTCTCGCCTTCACCTTCAGGTTCTCTGTAAAAGTTTAAACCAGTTTGTTGTTTTCTAACATTTGGGGGAATTAGGCCTGAAACCAACCCCGGCTCATTGGAAAAACATGCCTCAGCCAATGTTTCTGTCAAACCACAAAAACATACTTCAACATATTCTTGACTGCAGTTTCTATAACGCTACAGGGCAGTATGACAAGAGCGGATTTTGTTTCTATTCATATTAACAACCTAGCCTCATTCTGACAACGTTCCTCTATATACATTTCTGCAGACTGCGAATTAAGTCCCAGGGGTACATTTTTTTCCAGTTTTTGTTTTTGCGAATATACAAGAGGCAGCTGTGTACGCATTTTGAGATCTCAGATTTCTCGTGCGAGTGCCATTCATGTCTGCTGTCCTCACATAAACCCACCATAGGCCGCTGTTGTCTGACTTTGACTGACTGACTGACTGACTGACTGACTGACCGTTCGACAGAGCCATCCTCCTCCTTCCCTTAACCCAATCAATTTTATTGATTGACGCGTCCACCCACTTCCCTAAATCCAACCAACAGTTTTCAAAAGCAATCCAGAAAAAGAAAAGCCCTCATTTGATTTTTACCATGTTTTCAGATTTTACCACATTTTCACCCTGTTATTTACTTGTTTTGTTTAATTTATTTATTTATTTGTTGTTCTTCACCGGACATGAACCCCGTTAATGTGGTCAACTCCTCTCTGTGTCCCCACTCCGCTGATGTACATGGTAAGCTAACGGGACAAACTAGCGGGAAAGCTGTCCATACGGAGGTAAGCAGTCAGCTGGTAAGCGTGAAAAGGAATGGCTTCAAGCCGCCCCGTAGCGTTCATTTAAAAAATGAGACACAGCCATACGTAGCTCTAGCTACATAATTTGTGGCCTCCAGAAACTTATATAGGGCTATGTTTTCACAATTAGCCTATGTTGTAGATTAATGATTATTACAGAGACATATTTTCAACAAATAAATAGATAATTTTTGTGCAGTTCTTTGGAGAACACCAAATAAATACCACAAAAACAATACTATTACCACATAAACACTAAACAATACTACTACACAAAAACAATACTTAGTTAAATCAATCATTAAATCAATAAGGATTTTCTAGACAAGTGATTGTTTTTAAGTCAAAATAAATAATTTGGGTGCTTTAGGGTAAGCAAATTAATTTTGCCTAGATTATTTTACTCTTTTAGCTTTTTTTTTTACTTATCAAGAAAATGCTTTTTGATTTCTGAATTTGTAAGAATGTATGGACTATAAATATGACAAAACCTTTAAGTAAACAATATATATATATTTATATTTTTGCAGTATTCAATGAGCCTGGGTTGCCCAAAACAAGCAATATGCAAATACAAACCAAGATGACAAAATCTTTTTGACAAAGCGTTTATCTGCAATGAATAATAAATAGCGTGCCTCTGTGCTCTCAAAACTAGGCTTGAATTAGATTTCAAGAGAACTCCCAGAACTTGAGTCATCAGCAGATAAGAGTATTTATTACTCATGTGGGTGTTTAAAGATGTTTGGATGGCAACTGATTCATCACTCAAATTCAGCTTTTGATCCCTGATTGACTGAAGAAATAACAAAACATACATCATGGAAGTCTCACAGGAGCAGCAGGGTTTCCTCAGATGAGTGTAGTGTAGACAAGGCTTATATTACAGATGGCACGGATATAAGCAGATAGAAATTCTGAAACCCTCGGGGCGGCATGACAGACACCTGCTTCAATATCCACCGACTAAAGTACTTGGGTGTCACGTTAAACCCGAAGAATACGCATAAGTATGACATTAAACAAGTTTTTAGGCTGTTCACTGAAGCAATTTGATTGTAGCTTTGTTCACTTGAGCGTGTACCTGCCGTTGAGGAAATTACTTTAGCTCCTAGGCTGGAAGCTGTGGTGCATAACATCTTCTCCTCTGTGTCTTAAGTGCTGCTCTCATAAATCAAATGATTTTTTTTGTGCTTTCCTCTGCTGCAGCATTCCTCTGGCCTCCTCTTTTACTGTCTCTAGTCTTACGAAGCTGTGAAAAGGTCTAATGCACAGTTAAAATTAACAAGACATTTCCATTAATTGGAAGGGCCATTTTCAGATTAAATGAATTATTCTAGTAGTGACGCCTACATGCTATACTGTGTTTAGAACACCACGTTGAAGAATGGTGAAGCTTGACAATTATCAGCTGTTTCCTCATATCTTGCTAACAATAACAGAAGCCTTTTTTCTTATACATTGCTTTGTTTGTGCCTAATAATATGGAGTTTTGTTTTATTCATATGTCCTATTTATGACAGGGTAACCAATGATCATTGTATGCAAAAAAAAAAAAAATCAGTTTTTTGAAAATTGTCAATGTTGTCATTTTTAAAGGCCTTCAATTGTGCTCAAAGAGATGTGTTTGTCAACATAACAATGTGTAAAAGCAACTGTGATTAATTAAATGAAGCATATTATAATTGAAAACATAACTATATATTTTACATGTTCTAAAGGAAACTAAAGGAAATCTAAGTAATTTCATGAAAATCAATCATGAAAATAGTTCTCGTCGTGTTGAATAGTTTTTAATGTGTGTTAGATGATGTCATGGGCTAGTGTATTTAGTTGCTCTATTAGACAGTTGCTACACTGTAAAAAGCTATTAGCTGATAGTAAACCTGTTGCATTTAATACAGTTAGTTGACAACTTTTAAACAATTGGGTGACACTATCATAACATGTCATGAATATAAAGGAGATTGTATGCATTATGTCATTAAAATGTCTCAGTAAAAAATGTCAATACTCTGCCAAATAATGCATAAGATTGTTTTTAATATTTAATGAAATTTTAATGACAAATTCAATTTGTACCATAAAATTCATGACACAGTAATTACCTCATAAGAATGATGTTCATGATGGATTTGGGACAAGTATATGATTATATATGCATGAACAGTAACAGAAAGGCATTCATGCTGTTTAGATTTACACACAAGACTGAGATAACAATCAATTTACATACATTCACACTATCTCCATGCACATTAATAATAATAATAATACAACACATATAAACAAATAAAGTAGCAAAAAATAACAAAAATAAATGATAAAGAAAAATACGCAGCAGGAGAGTTGAAGTTGAACACCACTAGTTTTGGGAGAATTTTGAAAAAATTACATAAATATAATAATAATATTAATAATAATAATAATAATAATAATAATATATGCATATAACAAAAAAATAATTCAGATTTACACATTATGTTTCTTCATAATGTCAAGTTGACATGACAAAAAAAGTTTATGTATTTTATTTTGTCAACTGGTTGTTATCTCAAACAATGTCACCTTTGCCTTTAAAATGACATAACTGAGCAAATTACACTTAATTGTAGGCACAAGCATGCATAAAATCTCATATTCATGACATTTTGTCAAAATTACTGTAAATTTCAGGATTTATAGTATTCAGTCCAACTTTACTGTCCCATGAGACCACACGATATATTTTGAGAATGGAATTGAAGTGATGCAACTGACATAGGTAGGTCATATGATAACGAAAACATTGAGAATGTATTATTCATCAGGGGTCACCACAGCAAAATGAACTGCCAAATTATTTAGCATATGTTTTACACAGCGGATGTCCTTCCAACTGCAACTCAGTACACATGTGCTACGGCCAATTTAGTTTATTCAGTTCACCTTTACCACATGTCTTTGGACTGTGGGGAAACCAGAGCACCCGGAGGAAACCCACGCGTTCACGGGGAGAACGTCCAAATTCCACACAGAAATGCCAACTGGTCTAGCTGGGACTCAAACCAGTGACCTTCTTGCTGTAAGGTGACAGTGTTAACCACTGAGCCACTGTGTCGCACCTGAGAATGTATTATTCATATATTATATATTCATATATATGATTCATATGTATTATCCATTCATATATTTTCATATTTTATAGAGAATTTCTAACTGTCATAAAATAAAGTCTAATATACTGTAGTATCTCCTCAGACAGCATGTTATTTTGGATGCACCAAAGGATTCTACCCTGAAGTCTCTCTGACATTGTTGTATCTAGATTTTAAAATAGATCATTTAAGGACAATTATCTAATCTTTTGTGCTGTTTGAAGTGAAAACCATAGTTCCCAACTCTAGGTAAACTAGTATTAAACCTCTCCTCAGTAATGCATGTGATTTCAGCACTCATTACTGTTCACCACAAAAACCCGCACA